TTTTTTTTTTGAACTTGCTTTTGACTGTTACACAAATCACACACCTTCCCATCCCAGGGTTAGGTGAATGTAGGTTGAAGAAATGAAGGCCAAAAGTTAGATGAGGCTCAAAGTGGTTAATGAAGAAATGGATATGTTATTGGATGGTTAATGGGGGAATGAATGGGTTGCAAAAGTGCCTCAAGTCATTGGTGTACCTTGTGTTTGGTTCAGCAATTGATTTATTTGTTTTTGTTTTTTTGAATGAAAAGTTCTGTGATCAAGATGTAAAGGAAATATGCTCATTTTATTATTGGAAAAGATGAATGAAACACATGAAACATATAGAAATTCAAAACAGAAAACCTACGCTAGACATGAATGGGGAAAGGGAAATGAATGATAAAAAAAACAAAAACATCATGAAATCTTGTGTTGAGGCTTCATCTCGCGCCTTGTCTTCATTGATGCTTATCACTTCTTGCCGCTTGGGGGGACAGGAAGTTTGTTGGCATCCACTAGATCTTGAATAGTGTCAATTAAGTTCCAACACTGCTTGGTGGAGTAATCCCTTCCTTGATGGTACTTACAGTGAGCATTAGGGTCCCACCTGGCACTCCTTTCTTCAGGTTTTGGCTCTGGAAATGGCTTAATTTGTGTAATCAAACCTTGACCGTAAAGACGATCAAAGGCGGTGTCATATGTCATTCCCAAAGGAGTGTAAGTTCTCCTTTACTTTTGAAGAGGAGCATCAAGAGCTAAAATTTCATTGAGATCGACTTAGCTAATATTGTTGGTAGTATTTTCGGGCTTAGTGGACGAAGAAGAAGGAAGGTCGTTCTTCTTGTTTTTTCCAAGTGTTATTATTGTTACTACCCGCAGTCTTTATTAGCTCATCCTCAATATTGATGCCGATATCATATAAGCTTCGAAAGTGTTCAAAGGCAAGAACTTAAGATGTTGCTTGTACTTGTAAGTTAGGTTTTTGGATGAAAAGGAGAATTGAACCATCACTCTTTCTTTGGGGGGATCTACCAAGAGTGCAGCTGTTTCCCTCCACCTGTTGAGGTAAGCAGTGAAGCCTTCATTCTCTTTTTGTTTGAGAATGGAGAGTTCACTTTCAGAAGTTCTGGCTTGAATGTTATACTTGTAATGATTAATGAAACTTTCGATGACATCTTTCCAAGTTGCAGTGTGCTTGGAATCTAGAGAGTAAAACCATTTTTGGCCGGCATGCTCTAAGGAGAGAGGGAACATCGTAGGGAAGAGTGTTACATCTAATCCCTTGAGAACCATGGTTGCAGAAAAGGCCTTCAAGTGGAATATTGGATTGTCATTGGGCTTGAATTTTGGAATATCAGCAGTGGAGAACTTTTCACGGAGCCTGTCCTTCATATCCAAAGGAGTGGAAGATTGTTCCACATAGGTGAAGTCCTCAAATATCTTACTCACTTGTTCTTTCAATTTGTCAACTGTGGCAACAGTGACCTTGGTTTGCTCTATGGTATTAACTTGGGTAGTGAGCTTTTGCATCATGGTAGTAAGAGCCTCAATGGACTTGTGGATTCCCTCAATATCTTCCTTAGTAGCCATGAGTTGAAAATAAACTAGAGATGGAGATGAGCTTTGTGGAGATGCTTGTGGTGGTTTTATTGTACGCCTCTTAGGTATAAGAGGTTATTGTGGCAATGACTCGACCGCACCAATCTACCCCTGCTCCTTGACCAAGTACTGTGAAATAAAATAAATTAACTTAATGGTTTGACTCACTATTCAAAATAGGGAAGGAAGAGGGAAAGATAGACATTTAAAAACAGGTAAGAAAACCTCCACTCTTTTTTTGTGACGGAAAAAGGAGACACATGCATGAACCTAGTGTACGATCATAAAAGACATGGTGCACGACACGAGTAAAAAATAAAAAAGATTGTGGACTATACTTGACTCATGAGTGATTAGGTGATGTTATAAGACTTGTGGTATGATCGCATGGCTAGACATGTAAACAGTATCAAAACAACTGACGCGTGGACCAAAATAGCACGGAAGACAAATATAGGGACTGACTGGACTTAAACCTGGGCACCGTGGCACGGCACTACTGTCGTGACACGGCAAACTGTACCGTGGTGCGGCACAAGTTGCTGTGACACGGCATTTCTACTAAGGTACGGTAATCAGTTCCAGGTTGTTTTTGTGCTTTTTTTTCCAGTTTTTTTTGTCAATTTTAGAGTTTACGCTAATTACTAAGTGAGTATGGTCCATTGGCATTAGTTAGTCATAATAAACCACCATAGACAAAGAAAGATCATTAAGGTTAGGATTGAAACACACATAGGGCACGTAGGCACAATGATGCAAAGAAAAGTTCGCAAACTAAGGTCAAGTTCTATGTTCCACTATGATCAAGTTTATTTGGTGTCAAAAGGGTACCATGGTTAAGAGTTTGGACGCATAAGCAAGGCAGCCTCCCTTGAGGGTGTATGCCAACGGGCGGCTCCGCAAGTTCATGATTAAATTAAATTCGACTCCATGGTTTGGGTTGATTTAATAATTTGGATGAACCCTTATTGCCATGAGCATTTTTGGGTTGATAGAGCTTAAATCCCCGAGGCTAAGACGTATGTAGAACACACACGTTTTTTCAGAAAAATCGATGGAAGCTAATAACGAGAAAATTACAAAGCCACTTGAAGAATTTTACGACTGTCGCGACATGGCAGAGCATACCGTGTCACGGTACAAGACGCCGCGTGACGGTATTCTGTACCGTGACACAGCATGCTTGCCGTGATGTGGTAGTATGGAAATTAATCTAGTGCCCCTGTTTTTTCGTTCGCAATCAGGTTATTCGAAATTTTCCTACGAGACAAATCTAAAAACGATGTTAAACGTCAATGTATATGCAAAAATGCCAATTTAATCACAGGAATACAATTCAAGAATCTTTCAAATCTCATCCACTTATCTCAATTAAATACCGATCACTCAAATCGATAAATAACCAAGAATCCTCCCCAATGGAGTCGCCAAATTGTAGGTGTCCTTTGAAGCGCGCCTACGTTAAGCATGTTGTGAATATGCTTGGCACTCATAGGAAGTGGGAATTGACATATATACGATCAGGGACACGATTAGGGACAAAGCAAAGTAGGGAGCCGCCGATAAGTTTTTAAGGAACTTGTAAACCGTTCACAAATCATAAAAGGCAACCACGATTAAGGGACAACGAAAGACAACAACGATTGACCCGTGAAGGTTACACCCCATTTATAATCCATGAGATTACTAACTCCATATGGTTCGGAACCACGAAAGGAGGATCGGGGATGATGGTACGAAGTGAGTCATGGAGTCACATTCGCTCGTATTGGCCTCTACTCGATTCTTTTTTTGAAAAGTGATTCCTATGATTTCAAAGGTATGCAAACAAAGATTCAATTTTCTCCAAACTAATATTAATCTAAATTGATTTAATGTTAATGCAACATATAATTCTATAATATCGTGATCACTTCAGTTAACAACAAGATTAAAAAGGAACCTAAACCGGTCGTCCAAATTATCTTATTAGGCGTGATATTCACTTACATATTCCCTTTAAACATGTAATACGGTGATCAATAAATAAAATAGAATAAACATCAATATTGGAAGAAATTTAACAATAATAACGTTAGAAAAATCAAAGCATAATAATAACCCTAATCATGATACTAGCAACAAGAATAATAAACAGAGTAATTAAGTGAATTAACTACTCACGTTCCGCGTTTCCTTGAATTGCTACATCATGAATAAATAGTTAGAAACTTCAATAAAAATATAAATCAAATTGAAACAATTAAATTAAATAAAAAGTAGAGTTGATTTGGCCCAAACCCTCAGTTAGTTCTACCTTTCACGCCATGGTTTAACTATAGAACTTCGGGTCAAGTATGGAATCCTTGGAGTGCTTAGGGGAAGTATTATGAGAGAATAGGGTTGCTAGTATTTAGGGTAAAGAGAGAAGAGAATGGTTGTTGGTGTAGGGGGAAAGAGAATGATTTTTGGTGCCCCGAAACTAAGGAAATTAGCCTCGTATTTATAGAGGGAAAGGACCAGGGTGATGCACGAAACCCTAGAAATGATAAGGCGCCGCGGAAAAACCTTAACTGAACGCTGCGTCACGGCATGTGTGCCGTGAAACGATGCAAGATGTTGTGACGACAATACCGTCACGCGGTATATCTGTCGTGACACGGTGTCCGTTTCTGCCTTAAATCCGTCCAGATTCATTTTAACCCTAATTCTTAATCATTAAGTACGTGATTTTTAGGTGTCGTTTCAGAGTTTCGGGCTTATTTAGACTTATTATTTATTAACTGGGCTAAATTAATAAATAACATGAAATGAATTAAAAAGGGTTTGGGCTGAAATGTGAGTTAGACTGAGTTGGAATAAATGCTTGGACTGATTTGTAGATTGAATATGTTTGACTGAACATGAGTTTTAAGCACTCGCGAGATTAAATACTCGACTCGCCCAATAATGGCGGTGAAAGGTTGTTCATTATCGGGTTTGGTTTTGGCGAGACATTTTTAGGTGTCTACAATAAGGAACATACTTTACCTTTGAATGACTCTTTTCCTGATGAAAATTTATATGTTGTTTTTGCAGAAGTTCCTTAGTATGCTGATATTGTGAACCACCTTGTTGGAAGGAACTTGCCTTTGGAACTAACAAGATCTCAAAAGGTAAAGATAAAATCAGAGGCTAAGTATTATTTGTGGGATAATCCTTTTTTGTGGAAATTTTGTTCTGATCAATGCATTAAGAGATGTGTGAATGACAATGAATTTGAATCTGTATTACGTTTCTGTCATACGTTTGAATGTGGTGGACACTTTGGACCTAGGAAAACAGCACACAAAGTCTTAGAAAGTGGACTATACTGGCCCACCCTTGTTAGGGATGCATATATGTTTTGTAGAAACTATGACCAGTGCCAGCGTACAGGTAATTTAAGTGGTAGGAACCAAATGCCCTTGCAAAACATAGTGGTTTGCGAAATATTTGATGTATGGGGCATTGATTTCATGGGTCCCTTTCCCTCTTTCTTTGGTTTTGCTTACATTCTTATGGCTGTTGATTATGTGTCTAAATGGGTAGAAGCTAAAGCTTCTAAAACTGATGATGCTAAAACTATGGTGAATTTTGTCAAGAGTCGAATTCTTAATAGGTATGGAACTCTAAAAGAAATCATTAGTGATAGAGGAACACACTTCGCCAATAGTACCCTAGGGAACTTGTTGGCAAAATATCATGTGACCCATTAGCTTTCCACTACATATCATCCCCAAACTAATAGGCAAACTGAAGTGCCTAATATAGAGATTAAGTCCATTTTAGAAAAGGTAGTGAGGCCTAATAGGAAGGATTGGAGTCTTAGACTTGATGAGGCTTTGTGGGCTTATAGAACTGCTTATAAAACACCCATAGGTATGTCCCCATATCGTTTGGTATTTATCTTCTTATTGAAATTGATCATAAATCTTTTTGGGCTATCAAAGAATGTAACATGGACTATGACATAGCAGGAACTGAGAGAAAGTTGCGCCTACATGAACTTTAAGAATTTTGATTGGAATCTTATGAAAATGCTCAGATTTACAAGGATAAAACAAAGTTGTATCATGATAAGATGCTAACCAGAAAACATTTTATGTTGGTGATAAAGTTTTACTTTTTCAATCCAAAATGAAATTGTACCCTGGTAAGTTACAAGCTAGATGGTTGGGACCCTTTGTTTTTACTAATGTTTATCCTCATGGTGCAGTAAAGATTCGCAGCTTGGAAACTAATAAGACTTTGAAGGTCAATGGACATAGATTGAAGCCTTACTATGAAGGAGTTTTAGTGTTCCTCGTAGAGGAACTGGAACTTGTGGATCCAAACTAAGCAAGAACTATCCAGCCTAGGACATGAAATAAGGGCGCTGCTTAGGAGGTAACCCAAGGATGTTTCTTTTCTCTCTCTTTTATTATTTTCTTAGTCGGTAAATTATCATGGCTGCTCCTATATGATTTCATGTTGCATGTTATGTTCCTACATTGGGGACAATGTAGAATTTAAGTGTGGGGGAGGAACATGCATGTTTTTGTTAGGATACCACCTCTAAACTTCTGGGAAAGACTTACTCTAAGGAAAAACAGTAAAATCTAATCTAGTTGATTTTTATAAAAGTAAAAAATAAAAAATGAAAAATAAGAAGGAAAAAATGAACAAAAAAATGATGATTTTTTGAAGTTATGCACTAAAGATCTTCATCTCTAGCAATTGTGACAAGTAAACTGTTTTTTTGAAATTCGACTTGTAAGCAATTTGGAACACTACTTTGTTGGCTTAAGATGTGGTGATGTTGGGAAGGACCTTTGCTTATTTAATCCACCTAATTAGTACTTGGTGTTTTCTATGGTGACCTTTCACTACCCTTCGTTACTGGAGAATTACTTGACTTTCTTAATGAAACGAGGGAATAATGGTTCAAAAGAAAAAAAAAATGAAAAGAGGACTAGTAATCCCAAAGGTGAGGAAATTGAACCATTGAAAAGAAAAAAATCAATAGAGGGATCGGTTCCTGAGATAAAGGAGCTAAGGAAAAGCAGATTAAAAAGCCCCAAAAGTAGGCAAAAAAGCGAAGTATCGAGTACTCCTTTGAGATAAATGGGTGGCAAGTGCAATGACACATGAACAGAACGATCCATGTACTTAGGTAAGTGCCTATTGAATGCGAAAGCACCAGGGAATCAATTGAAAGACTATAATGGTCCAACTTGACTAGCCTAATTCTATGGGCCAATACACTTGCACTCGAGCCCCTAGATTGCTTATAAGTTAACAGTGATATGTTTTTGAAATCGCTAGAGTATGGGAGGAAGTTGTATCCATAGCTTGCTAATCTAACAAATAAGCTTGTGGTTCATTATGGAAAAAGAAAAATAAAAAGTGTTTTAATTTATTGTTGAGTACTTATGAGTGAATGTCTTATACGAGAGGTCTAGTGGTATATAGTCTATCTTCTTTTTTTCTTATATAAGTTCTTTGCTCGAGGAAAATCAAAGATCTAAGTGTCGCGGAATTTGATGATTGTCATTTATGACACTATTTTATAGTCATGTTCCTTAGATTTTAGGTTAGTTCCTTTAGCTTTTTAGTGCTTTTATCTATGTTGTTATAGGTTATTGAGTCATTTTGGATGATAAAAAGATGAACTGAATAAAGGAGCCAATGTCAAATGCAAATGAATATATGCTGAGTTCCTTCGGAGGAACTGGAAGACTGACGCAAACGCAAAGGAAATTACTGACAGTCCGAAATTTGTCCATATTCATTGCAACGTGATATTTGGTTACATGGAGAATAGTTCTTGAATATTTACAGCTGGAAGGAAGATATATTTAATAAGAAGAAGATGTAACCATTTAGGAAAAGATTTGGCAAAAGATAGAATTTTCTAGATTTTATCAAACCACTTTCCTTATCTTAGAATATCTTCCATATTTTAGGGATTTTTACTTGGGGAATAATTTTATCACGATTCTATAAAACCCCAAAGTTATTTAGCGTTTAAAGCATCCATTCTTCATTCATCTCTCACTTGTGCTCACGTTTAGAAGGAACTGCCTATAGGAACTCGACATGTCTTTCTCAAAAAGCTTTTATTCTTTGCTCTATAACATGAGTGAGTAATTCTTTATACTCAGTAGTAGTTAGAGGAGGCCATGTAATTAGTATTTGAGACAAGTTAGTTTTGTTTTAATGATAATTAGTTAATGTTTTGGGAATATTCTTGAATTACTACTTATTTCTATGAATGATGATTTCTTATAAGTGGGTGCGCAATTATTTGTTTGGGTCTGATTTCTATTGCTAATTAATACTACTAAGTTCATAATTGCTTGGGAATGTTAATGAAGTAGCAACCAACTGTAGAGGAGGACGTTCCACTCTATTAATTGTGAAGTAATTCTTGATCTAGGTGAAACCGTGTTCCAGTAATGTCATGGTTGTCTACGCTTGATGTTTTCCTAGTTCCTTGCTATCAACATGTTAAATTCCTTGCTCGTAGTATAGGGGTTATTTGTTGGTTAGGGTTAGTGAAAGTCGTACGAGATCTAAACATTAATAAGGATAAATAGAGGAACTTGTTCTATTAGTTAAGTTGTTCCTAATGGGTTAATTATTGTGTCAATGATTTAACGAAGTTCCATGGTTGGAATCTGATTATTTACCGAGTGTTTTCTCCATTGATTGTTTGTTCTTTAGTTAAAATTCCTTTTATTTTTATTCCTTTAGTAATTTTATATTAGATTTCTCATATCAAAATCCCCCCCAGAGCGTGTTACTCTTGTGGAACTTGGATCTGTTAACTTGTTACTTTAGACTTACTTTCCTCGTGGGATCGACTCTTACTTGCCCTATCTATTTCTTAAGGTGAATAAGGTTTAATTTTGTGTGCACTTTGACAACACACCATGAGTCTACCTACTTATCCTTTCGGAATTAGATCATTTTGTAGTTTTGGCATTGATTTTTTTATGACATTGTTTGGACATGTCTGTAAGAGGTCTTTTGGGGGTTGTAACGTGGTTAGATTGAAGGTTGCCAAGGAAGGATATAAAGCTCCAGACACAAATTAAGCCCCCGAGGTGTGCTGTTGTATTGATTAATATGAATTTTCTTTTTTTTTAATTTTTTTTTTGTTTGACTTAAAGGTTCAACTCTTGATTTTCTGACATTTCTGATTTTGACTTCTTTCGATTATTGAAACAGGAAACTTGTATTTGGATATTTCCTTCTCACTCAGAATTTTGTGCTCTAGTTTTGAATTTTTATTTCTGAATTTAAATATTGCACAGGTTTTGAACTTTTATTTTTGATTTTGAATATACGCAAATCGAGGGTTTCATAGTATGCGAAAGGAACGTTTTTAGGAATGTTTTTTTATGTCTGTTGTTTACACCTGTTTGTCATTTAAAGGTATTTGGTGAACATTTGTAAAACTTTAGAGCATTTATTGAATTTTAAAAGTACAAAGACATTTGGTGAATAAGTTGAAAACTGAGGGATATTTGATGAAAAAGTTGTATCCTAATGTATTCAAAGTTTGATATACAATAGAGTTAAATGTATATACAACTATTTATTTTATAGTAAACTTCTTTATATTAGTGAAGTAAAGTGCAACAGGTTATAATTACCCTAAAGTAGGTTATAAGTTCCCCTAAGCTAGTAATCATAATAATTAACACTAGATCAAGAACTCCGTATTTTATATAGAGATTTCCGTTTAGTCGCCAAATATTCTTCTTACCAGTGTATAATTGTATTTGTACATAGATACTGGTGCTCCGTAGAAGTGAAAGACAAATCTAGTCCAAAAATTTGTCAGCATCACCTTACTTCTCTATTCCTTCACATGAAAAGAATAAAAAAATAAAAAAAAATAAAAAAAAGAAATGAAACGTACATACAACAAAGATTAGATGATAATATCTCTGTTTTGCAAAGTCGATGTTCTATTATTTGCATAATCCAACTCATGTCATTTATGATAAGCACATGACTAAGTCCAAAATTCTTTTGAAAGAATATACAAACTATCCTTGTAACAAGGTAACAATGCAAATAGTATAATAAAATCTCAATCAAATAAATAATTATTCAACCAAATAAATCCTATTAAAAAAAAAAATTCTAACAAATAACCTTTTGTTTTTATCCTTTTCCTATTTTTTTGGGATTAAAAATCAATAGCGATCTATATCACACTTTGTACTTTGAGAACTCTTCCCAGAAGACAAACCAATTAACACAGGAATGCAAATAATCCTCAATGTATAATTCTTATGCTTCCACCTTTTAACCTCGTATCTAACCGCAGCCCGAACCCGAATCTCCAACTCAAATCGCCCGGCTCGAGTCTCATTCCTAATATCCCTAGCCAAGCCCGGGTCCGAAATCATAACATTTTGGGCCTTAGGCTGGGCCGTGAACAAAATATCATCCCCATGATGTTGGAAATACGGGCCCAGTGTATCATACGCTAGGGTGTACCCGTTGTGGTACACTGAGACCACAACAACGTTGTAGTCAATCTTGTACTTAGAGTCACGGTTGTGGGATCGTACCACAACCGTGAACGTAGCGTTAAGGCGATTGTCGGCGGTGAAATTGTAGTCGTTGACGGCAGCTTGATCGACGGAAAATGTAGGAGATTTCATCTTGTCCGCTAACCAAGCGATCAATACTGCTATACCTCCTAGAATAATAAATGTTATTACGAAGCAAATAATCGTTGCTTTTGCGGCCATATTTATATTTGATATAATTATTTTCGTAATCGAAGATTTTAGTTGTTTATAAGAGAAAGAGGAGAATAGAGAGAAAAGATGGGAATGAAGGAGCTGAAAAATTGGGATTCTTGAAAAAATGTCAACTAGATTGCAAACAAAAGAAGATAGAATTAATCATACGAAAGTTCGTTACCTATACAATTTTGATTTAAAAAATAGCTTAGGAAAACTAAACATTCGTAATATTTTATTTGACCCGTAAAAAAATAGATAAATAATTGTACTTATAATATTTTTATTTACTTTTGTTTTTGATGATATAATTACGGTAAGATCTATAAGAGGTTCAAATTCACATGGGTGATGAGCATAAATCCCATTTTTTTAGAAACTATCTAAACCGACTTTTTACATTGATGAATCTTATATGATACCTAGTACTGCTATATTTGTAGATTTAAAAAAAAAAACAAAAAAAAAAAAACAATTACACTTTCTGAGATTTTGTTTAGTTGCAATTTATACAAAAAGTGTACTCAGACTCTCAGATAAGTAGAATACATACAAGTTTGATTATATTTATAGAATTACAGCTAGGTGATA